GGGCTGAAGCTTCGTGGCTTTTATTTGGAGCAGAGCAGCCAAATTTTTAATCTGCAAAAGTAAGTCTCAATAGTTTTCTCGTGAACCTGGTGTGCTCACAATATTACTCGCGTCCACAGTATAAAATGTGCAAGCATAAAAACAGCACGTACAAAAACTACCTAGATACAACTGACGCACGTATTTTCTCATCAGTAGCAAAAAAAGTGAAGAGAGAGAGTGGAATATAAATAAATGCTATACACCGAGTACTTATGGCAAGTAGAGAAAATTCGTAAATTCATCAGATTAAACTACAAACTCGTGCATAGCAGCACGTATAAACAATATGATATTCTAAGAATGACTGAATGAACAATCGCGTGCTGTATATGCTTGAAAAAGTTCCTGGGCGCGAGCTTTTACAACCCTATGCGACCAGCGAGCTGCAAAAGAGAGTGCTACTATTTGCATGTAGAGATTCAGATTTATAGCCGAGTTATCTGTTGGTGTTGTTTTTTTTAACTCTCAAATGCATCACTTTTAACGGGGTCAGTTTTAGCATGTCACGCACATTAATTACATCTGAGCTTTTAGAGCATGAATTTATAGGGTGGGACAAGAAAAAGTACGCTCAACTGTGGTTTCAAATTTTTGTAATTTTTGCTTCGCTAATTGGCGGCTTGATTAGCAATTGAATTTTGCAGCTTCGTCCTTTGACGCGAGCCGCCTCGATTTTGAATAATTCAAGCAATCGGATAATCCAAGTCTAAAGTCTATAAATTTGATGTAAATTCAACTGCAGCGCTACGTGCGATGTATTACAAATTTTATTACTTACTCAGTACCAACTTTTTTCCACGACAATTCAATGAATCATCGATTCTTTCAGCGAGAGATTTCAGTAATTTACGTCTATCTCGAGCTTCCGAACGACTGTACTCTACTGTCCGGAAATTGCACAGAGCTTCCTACTTACTCTGTACTTGGGTTTACGCTTTTCTTTGAAAGTGTCTATGGACGACCATAACTTTTGCGATTTTTCTGACTTTTTCTTTTGTGTTAAACGATAGAAGAAATCTTCAAGACCAATGTGGACATGAATTAAAGCTGCTCATAATTCACATATATACCCGTACGGATCAAGATTATCGTTTTCCAATCTTTATTCGTCGAAGAATGAAAAATTAATTAATCCATCATTGATTGAAAATAATAAATCAAATTTTTATCTACGCAAAGAATTTTTCATCTCAAATAATCGATTTTCTGCATTGCCGTAATTTTCAACTTGGGCTAAAAGCATGTCTAATACACATCGAAAACTTTTGCTTCCGTGCAGTTCTTCATAATATGTGTATCGACGGTTTCTCCGTCGTACGTCAACGCGACAACTTGGAAAGTTGTTCGCAAAAGGCGCCGATAGTTCATCGTAGGAAATCCAATATTTTCTCGTTACAACTTTTCAACGTGCCATCTTTTAATTGTTCTTTGGTTTTTACGGTGCGAAAACCTACATCTCTATATAAAACCAGCTCTGATGAGGTCTTTCTTAATTTTCTTTGAGAGCAAACTCCTCTCGAGTACTTTGGCCGTGCAACATCAGTCTTTATTTCCTTGCACTTAGATATATATCACAAAATTACCACCACGCACTTCGATCTTTGCTCCAAAATTATGTTCTACCACACAGTATTTTTTAAGAAATTTTGTTCAAACGAAACTAACCAAACTATATTGTTATTAGTAAAAAAAAGTTTCATGAAATAAATAATTATTAAAACTTTGATATATACACTGGACCTTTGTCATCATTTTTATATCTGTTTTGTTATTTTTAACGAGATTTTTTCAAAATAAATAAGTATCAAAGCCAAGAGTAAATAAACCGTCGTATCAGTGGCTCGGACTCGAGCGAATCATCAACACTATGACGATGCGACAGAGCGTAAAGACGAGATAAGCGAGCTGAGGTTTTGTGACCGCGCGTGCAGTTCTATACAATATATATCAAGGAAAAAATCGAGAAAAGAGCGCACAAAGATAGCGAATTGGTGAGGTTGGGCTGCGATAAGAAACTCTGCTTCCCGTACACCAGATCCTGTGGATTTGTCAAATCCAGCAGTATCTTTTACGCTTCATTTCGTTTTTCTGCAACTTTATGCAAAGGCTATGTTTGCATAAAGTATAGAATTCATTTCGATTCAAGTTGAGCTGTCAAAATTGGAAATAAGAGCCTCTTTGATTGTGCTTTATTCAGTTTTAAATGTGTCGTGATATATTATATTAATTTAATCTTAATTAAACATAACCCAAAGAAAATAGAGAGATTATTTTTTTTACTTCTGCTCTTACACGACACTTTTCTCACTTTAGTTACATCCAAGCCGTCTGAATGTATACCCGCACGATAGCTAGCCTCGTAAATACGTTATACGAGATAAAATGTCCTTCCTGAAAGCTTCTTTCGCCTCCATCTCATACGTACCTATCTTATACGCGTTTTATATATATACTTATTTTTCTTTGAAACGGGGTGACGAGATCTCGGACTTGGCTTGAAATGGACGCGGTAAACTTTCATGACCCTTTACGATTTTACAGTCTTGATCTAGAGAAGGAGAAAAAACAAAATCTCGCTGGACCTACAGGAATAGTCGCAAATATTTTCTCTACGCATATTTACTTTGTCGAGACAATAATCGAGGAAACATTTAAAAGTTATTGATTTTTTCATCATACTTTCTCCATTATAATCATACTGAAATGTAATTTTCATGCATACTCGATATTTCACCTAAATTGAAGCTTCTCTTGCGAAGCAAAATTATTTAGTTTGAGGAAAATTTGTTGCGATATACGTGTACAATTACGTACTATACTTATTATACTAGCTCATCGTATCTGCTAGCCATGTTCCAGTGGCTACTAGCGATTAATGTACGAGCAGCTTTTGACACCCCCGTTGTCATTATTACGTTAGTCTTTGTCGACGAAGCACAAATACCGCGGTACTATACGAATGCTCAAGAGGTTAAATTTAATAAATTGATGCCGCGATCTCCGGGGTTAATTATAATTCTAGTTTATAACTGGTATGATACATAAGCTCGAGTTTCATAATTCATTGTGCTTTTGACCCAAGGGAAAATTTCACGTATTTAAAAAAAAGAGAGAAAAGGATAGAAATGAACCCCTACATATAAAAGGTTTCTAAGAAAGTACAGCAGGGTTGCTCGCGTGCGCATCTTCTCATTTCGTCACTTGAGCTTCGTCATGCGGTGGACAAAAGTGAAAAGTACAACGTCTGGTGCGAGCTTCCTGCCCGTGAAGTTCGCATGTAGCATTCAAACGAATGATTAGTCTGGCCTTTCATCGAGCCGCAAGAGCGGATATTATACTTTATCGCGTAAAGCACCTAACTCTAATGAAATGAGCCTTCTTTTAAAATACTTTTATTCATTTCACACTTTTGTTTTCAAGTTAGTGATTTTTAAGCAGTGAAGCCACCGGAATTCTTTAAGAATTTTGATTGAAATATTTCGGTTATATAAGATATAAGATATATATCAATCAAGTTTTTTTTATACAATAACAGTTAGTACCGACACTCAAGAAGTAATCAAATGCACTTGAATGCTCAGCATTAAAAGGGTAAAAACAGGGCAACCATTAAGAAGGTGTTGATAAAATTGTGCCCATCTTCATTCGCATACTCAGACAGCATTTGTTATTCTCATAGTGCCACTTCACCGGATTTCCGGTCTGTTGGACGAGCGAAAATCCTTCGAACACTAAACGTTTATATTTCGCTAGTGTATAAATACTAAGTATAGCACGTCATGGATCATTTTTGATTGTTCACATAATGATTTTATGGTGCATAAAAATTGACGTGATATGAATTTAAATTTTAATGCAACCGAATTTACACTGGAAATCATTGCAAGTTATTTGACGCTTTGAATAAATTTAGTATCGATGTTGTACTGAATATTGAGCTTCGTGCAAGGAAAAGATCTATCAAATGATATATTTGAAATTTAATATTTTACAGAATGTGATCACGTAAAATGAATCAATGAATTATCTTAACACTGATAAAAAATGTCACAGTTTCAAAAAGTCAAGCTTGTAGAATTATTTTTTGAACATATAAATGACACAATATTAGCAACATATTCTCATGAATGGTGTTCCAGATCATCGCCTTTACAGAAAGGTCACTTTTGATAACGAAATGTGAGTTTTTTCTCTATTATAATGTATAAAAAATTTAATTAATGACGTTAAAATCAGATGTACCGCGTCGAAGATTGAAATTAACTATCCAACTTGAAAATAGACATCAAGTGATTGATTATTATGATATTTCATGATTTTAAATTAATACAAATTGCACATGTCTTAGACCTCTCTGAAATTTCAGCTTTATTGCAGGTTCTTAAAAAAATTTGCTGCTTGAAAATTGCCAGTTTAGCGCGCTCTTGCACATCGGGGTATATTCGATGATCAATTTAAAGAAGATGAATGGTTGACTGTATTTGAAGATCCCCTCGCTGAAACGGGGTATAATCGATGGAGCGCGCGCAGGACCACCGAAAATTTCCGTGCCGGGGTGTGTTATACGAGCTGGCGATGGCAAATTACTCGGAATTCCTTGCAAAGTTGAACGGTTCTACTTTTCGCGTAATTCCCGGAATGCCGAAATGCTAGATAATAAATTAAAATCGATAAATTATAAAGAGCGCATTTTGTATAAAAAAAATCCTTAGCGATTACAAGTACTGGATAATCAATTTTTTTACGAATCTGCGTTCAAATGTTTTCGACGCACTGATGAGATAACGAGGCGTATTTGCATCTGTTGAGAAGCACACGGTGACACAGAAGCGCAATATGAAATATCGAGCTGGAAAATACGAGCTGGCTATCAGAGGCTGACTAATTTCAGATAAATTTCATCTTTATATGCTCGTAAGAAGAACGTAGGGGGCAACAAACAGTCAGTCGGTCTCACGAAGATGAACGTAAAAGTACTAAGTTTCGCGCTCGTTACGGCTGCCTCGGTGTTGTTGGTCAGCGCCGACGATGCGCCACAAAAGCCAACGGACCCACTTCTAAGCTCGTTGGACAACATAACAAAGAAAGTTCAAATGATCAAAGCTCGATTGGACAAGACTCTCAACGAGACCAAGAGCTCGGGTTTGTTGGAGAAGGGTCGTCATGACACTCTCATCGAGACGGGCTACCGTCTGACGCCTGGAGCAGGTTACCACAAGCTGTACTTGAACGAGATGAGCTGGCACGACGCCCTGAACTTTTGCCGGCGGAAAAATGCCCATCTCGCCGTCGTCAACTCGACCGCCGAATTAGACGTAAGTGTATTTTCGCTTCTGCCACTCGAAGCGCGAGTAAATTAATTTTCATTCTTCTATAGGTACTGGGTAACGCGGTTAAAGAGAGATTGGCGCCGCTGACCGGAGAAAAGAGCATGGCTTACATTGGTATGCACGACTACAATTCTCCTAACGTTTGGTTGGATGTGTTCTTTCAAATTATTGAAAAACAAAATTATCTGCGTTGGTCGAAGCCGACGCACCCAAGAACGGAGACCGAGGCAGGAAACTGCGTTGCCGTTGACGAGGATGGCGACATGCATGTCGTAGCCTGCAAACGTAAACTACCTTTCATATGCGAGGCCGAAATCTAAACTCGACGTTGTACTTGTAAAAGTTATAATAAAGATCTCGTACGATTCTTGACTCAGCGCGTATTTAATGCTTCGAGCTGTCGAACCTCTTGAATGATTTGAGCCGCTGTCTGCGAATAATTGCTATACATTGTGCACGGCGGAATGGGTCGAGAAAGGGCAAAAAGTCGATAGTCGATAATCCGGCAAATATTCAATCGCGCAGCGCTCACTGTCTATACACGAGTCGCACTCGCTCGTACAGTGTAATGCTTTTATCTATCTCTCGCTCGGGAGAACATTCATCGGTATCGGCTGTTAGGCGAGAGCCACTGCCTGTATACTGTGTAATATATATATTATACATATATCGGTCAGCAGTGCATCAGCCTACGGTGGTTATCGTGGTGGCGCGCGAATATTATTACGGCTCGATTCCAGAGAAAATCGATGTGCTGGCCAACGAAAGTCGGTGTAGCAGTAAACGCGCGCGAGGCTATGGCGATTAAATCAAGGCCGATCGAATGCAAATCGACTCGTATATCATACGCGCACAACACGTATTAGTTCGAATTTCCTAGCGGGACCCAGCATGCTCCAACACCAGTTTACGCGGATCAGCCGATATGCTGTGAAAGCTTGTATAGCCGCGCCTGAATCGCAGCCATCAGGAAATATCCCAAATATTCATGCGCTTGTTGTTCCTTGCTAACGCGACTATAATCTAATATTATCTATGTATTGCTAAATCATATAAACATCTCAGCCGCCTGATTATTTATTTTCCTGTAACATCTCGATGTTTTTTCATTATTTGCTCGAGGCTCCAACTAAACATAATATTTCATGGGTACATACCATGACTGACAATATGTCAGTTATATTTCTTGAATGCAAAACAAAGTTACATGCAAAGTTACATCAAGCAACAGCTTCGGGTATGACGATGATTTGACGGATTCGAAAGCTCGACAATAACCACGCCCTACGTATTTGTACGAAAGTACGCATTAGTTCGAGCCTTGCCTCGGTAGTAATTGTCCTCAGCTTGAAATTTCAGTAAGATAAGTATAATTAAATCGAGTGGAATACTTATGCTGAATTGTAAAATTAAATTTTTGGTCGTATATTCTTGAATTAATTGGTAGGCGAGGTGAGTGCTTTTTTGAAACAGCTACTAAGCTGAGCTTTTATTTACTGTTTTTCACAGCAAACGGAATCATGCCTAAGAAGTTGGCACGAAGCGTAAAGTTATCTGGCATTAGTCGACAGGAATTAGAAATACAATTAGAGGGCTTATGAGTGTATCATCGATGCTTATTCGTTGGCCTGGCATACGAGCGCACGCGATCGAGCAGTATCGTGGCTTCGCGCATGGATGCGATATCATGCACAAGGCAGGCATGTGCGAGTCTAACGAATTGATGAATCATCCGAGGGTTGGCTTTCAACTTGTCGCGCCCATAGAGAGCCCGTGTCATCGAGACGACGATTTGGCATATTCAGGCGCTCGTCTCGATTTTCGGACATTACAAGGCTGCGCTCGAATCATTTGTCTTTTCAAAAGCGGCTACGGCAATTATTCAAAGTGTGCGCTGAGAAAAAAAGCATAAAACAAGGTAAACGTTAACGAGCAAGGTGACACTTTATGACGCAGTAGAAGCCACGCAGAGAGCAGAGCGAGCGAGCTGCTCTATACACAATATAACCACCTAATCAAATAACTGTGGTAACCATTTATCACGGAGCAACAGCAGCGGCACTACACGTCGTCGTGGCTCGCTCGTTTATGCAACGACGCGAGAACGACGACGACAATATACAGCCACCTCTATTTACTATACACAATATACAACGCTGCTGCCGCTGTTGCTGCTGCTGCTGCTGCTGCAGTGAGGTCCTTTACGCGCTTCTACATGTATGCATATGAGTATGTGAGCAAGAGAGAGAGAGAGAGAGAGAGAGAGCATACTCATGTATGTATACGATATATATTAGCGTCGACACTCGTCGGCCGCTTGTATGTGTACGCAACGCGTTTTCAACGTCATCACGCGCTCACAGGTCCAAGTTTCCTCTTTCGCTCTGCCTCTTTCCCATCGACGCTGCTCAACACGTATATACATAGAAGCAGACTCAAAACTAATTGCCAATTAAGCCAAGCTAAACAGCGAAAGGGTATCACGCGTGTGCGTGTACGTGCAGAGATAATACATAAGTGACCTGCAAGGGTGTATATCGCGCGCGTAACTCGCGGCCTCTGCATAGATTATGAGCAGCCAACTTTGTGTTTCGTTCGGTAGCGGCGAACATGCCTCGCGCCAGCGACGCTCGTTTAATGATAGGCTTTTACCGACAACTTTGATCGCTTCGTGAAACGCCTGATCGCAACTCGAGAGCCCGTAGCAGCAGCTCTCGTAAATGGACCCGTCAACGAACAACATTATCTCCATTGTAAGTGATCGGTAGCTAAAAAAATATCATTCACTCTGACAAAATACCTGCAGCTCGCCAAGCGCACGCTGATGCAGCAATTTTTTCCCAACGCGATCAGGCCCTGTCTGAACGAATATCGTATTTGGCCAGCACTTCTCACTTTGCTATTGTGCCGCGTATTAGAATGAGCACCACGAATGAACTTTCAAAAAATGACATTGCCAGTCATTTATATACCACACGTAAAGTATCTGTCCGAGAAGCCTCGATCGATTTCCTTAATTATTACGCACCTTTTAGTTGGACCAAAAAATTCGGCTATTGAATTTTAAAAGAATCTGAGCTTTTTTCTAAAACCAATTATTAAGTGCTTTGAATGCATGTTCGTGTGTCATTTTTTGACAAAAACGAGCCTCTTTTCAACGACATCCTTTGAACTGAAAATCATACTTGAGGTGAGAATACATAATGTATGCACGAGTTCATTCATTGTCAACTTATTGTAAGTTCATTAGAATCGATGATTTTGAATGTATTCATTCGTGTCGATGAAAAAATTATTTTTTTGTGAATAACATGAAAGGCTGTATGAGTCTATGATTCACCAAGCTACGTACTTTCAAAAAACATATTGTAAAACCAAAAATGAAACAATTTTTCATTAATTTTAAATGATGACATTTGTAATAATCATTTAAAATATTTTAAGTTTGCTCTATGAAAATTTTGCTCGTATTTATTTTTCACATAAAAAAGTTGGTGATTTAAAGGACTCGTCATGGAGCTCTAATCTTGGTTCGTACAAATGAAACAAATGTAGGAGAATTGCATCGAACGCTTTTTTACTACTATACATACAACTGAACAAGAAGAAGACCATACCAGAAAAAGCAGCAACATTCATTATCTCGTGGTTTCAATTCTCAATAGAGAATATAGTTGCGGTCTTAAACGATACTCGTTCAAGCGCGAGTCATCGAATCGAATGTGTGAAGATAAAAAGCTAACTTGATCATCAAATATTAGTTTTTGCAGCGAAAATTTCATGGGAACAGGATGACTATTGCATTCACAAATTTAAGTCTCTTGTATTATACATTTCTAGATACAAGTTCATCAATAAATTTTACTTTTGAGTTAGTTAAATAATCCTTACTTCGTTAGTAAAATTTTATTGTAAAGGACTCTCAAATTGAATCATACATATACCAGAAAATAAACAACTTTATATTAATGTTTTTGAATATCAGGTGAAAAAAAAAGTTAACTGGAAATGTTGTGAAACTTAAGTACTATGGAGCAAATTTACCAATCGATGTTTTGGTTATTTGACACCCACAAGATACTGATACTACACCAAATTTATGTTCAATCATATATTTTTTTGACAATTAACGTAGAAGCAATAACAACAAAGCACAATTATTCAATATGAATATATGGAGTGCAATAAGTCTAGATCTAAATAAAGATGCACAAGAAAAATGAATTGTCTCTGCAAATTTTTTGAGCATTAAAGTAGCGTATGCCTTTTTTTCAGGTAAATACTTGCCCGACACTTCTTAACTCTAATCTGTTACTAACGATAGTCATTTCCAAATAATAGCACTTGACAAAGGTAGAAATTTTACCTGAAATGCGATTGAAAGAATAATTCGAGCTATAAAAATGAAGCGTCGAAACGCGCTGCTTCTTTTATGTGCGAGTCGATCAACGATATTTCGTGTCTATCATTGCTGACGCGTGCGCGTCTCTATAGTAGTCTATACGTGACTGGAACATTAAATGAGTGCAATCATCGCCGTACATCCATTGATTTTTCTTGGCGCATTACCTCTCGGTCAAGTCTCATTGTTGGAACGCGAGCGCATTGTTAAGCGCGCTCCACACGCGCTTCAAAATTATAGGGGCTATTGCGCTTTCGTTGCGCTACTCCCGTGTGCATATAATATACTCTCATTCTGTACATTTGGTCTCTCGAAAAAAAGGAATAATCTAATGCAGCCTGAGGCCAGACAGACGCACGCGCGAATCTTTCTTTCGCTTTGGCCTTTCTTGCAGGCCCAATCGATCGAGCTGCAGGCAGGGAGAAAGAGAACTGGCACCTGTGTATTGTAATCTACAAAAAACTGATGAAGGATTCTTCATGTTTTTTATTTTCTCTCTGTTTCGCTCTTTCTCTCTTTCTATGGCTACAAGTAGACTGATGAATAATATTTTTATTCGACACTTTCGTTTGATATGAAAAGCGACAATAGTCGTACAAATGTCCAAACATACGAGTACAATTTTTGTACGCAGTTCATATTCGAATTTATTAAACAAAGCTCTCCGCATTAAAAGTAACAAAGTTATGAGTAGCAATTAGTATCTAATACGTCCTTTCCAAAGCTGCGATTTCGATTATTATTATTATTATTATTTTTATGATAGCCGATCGTGCCAAACTACATCTTTGCACGTGTAATAGGCTAATCCCGAAAGACGAAACTCATTTCAACGTAGCCAAGACTGGCTTGGTATGAAAATAAGAAAATAAAATAAAATAAAATTTGAAACAACCTATCGCAAAAGCCTTTAATATGA